GTTATGGGGCACTCGTAGTTGCACCCGTTCAATCAATTTATCGCAGTCTAGTCTGTTATTAACCAATTTGTAGAAGAATATAACGTCCTGCGACAGTCGACGGTTACGCAGAGTATTCATTTCAAAGCTTAGAAGACGTTGTTCATATGGACACCGGGGAGAAATATTGCCAAAGATGCATGCTAAATGCTTTGTGAAGGCTCTTTGGATGCTTTCTATTTCTTGTGAATGTATTGCGTAGTGAGGGTTCCATACTACACTGGCAAACTCTAGGTGGCTACGAACTAAGGCGTTGTATAGGACTATTTTTGTTCTCACCAGCTTAAATCCTCTAGTATTTCCCTTAAGAAATCCCAGTAGCCGTGCCGATTTCGTAACAATGTGATCAATTTTTTCATCATCAATCAATTCCGGATTAACCCGAGCTAGCACTAGTGACAACTTGGATGTCTAGATAGACCTGTGAGCACGAAGGGCGCCTTCCTCTGCGTGTCGAAGTAGTACGCGAGCGCCGCGCACACGAGCACGACGAGTATGTTGCGCGTGGTGGACAGGAACCACAGCGCATGCGCCGCCGCGCGCCGCGCCCGCGACTGGGACGTGTCCGAGCCCGCGTCGCCGCACTCCGGGTCCGGCTTGGGGTTCACTTTTATGTCCTTCACTTTCTGTAACATATGCACAGATCATATCATAATAATATATTGTGTATTAAGATTGTGAATTTAAAGATTTCCTTTTTTTGTTATACAAATATACCTTTTTCTAATCGCTGCAACTCTTGGAGGATATAAGTACAATAACTACCAATTAAAAGAAGTACTGAAACAATAAAAGTCAGGATCAGGGAAACAGCTCCAGTGATACATAGTTTCCATTTCTTACCGCTTTATCGCTTTTGCTGAAGAACATGTTCTGTAGAGCTAATATCACATGCCGGTGTGGAGCGAAGATAGACTCATCTAGAAAGACGTGAACACCTAGCTAGACAGCGTACTTACCCTGAGCAGTAGCAGCACGATGATGCAGGAGATGCCGAGCACGGAGTCCCACAGCCGCGTCTCCCCGATGTGCTCGTACAGCCCCGTCCACACCTGCAACACGTCACCGCTCCCACTTAGACCACTATACTGCATTTTAATTTATGATATTGGATACGTACTTCGTGTATTAGTGTTTAACTCAGTTTAATATCATTTATTTACAAGATGAAAGAGCCGCAGCCTGCATGTGAAGGTCGATAGAAAGTGTTGCGGCGCTGTCGGCTCGACTCCCACAAAAAGATAGAATGATGTAGACAAAAACTGATTCTAATTGTTTATTAACAAAACAAACTTATTGGCAATTTTTTTAAGGTAGATAAATGACTACTAAATAATAATCAAAGCATTACCTATATAGCAAATTTCAAATAACACAAGGATACCGCCTACGTGACAAACTGTACCTGCGTAATAGATATTGTATTTATTGTATGTGTACTGATACAACTACAATGCATATATTCAACTTAACGTCTCTCTTCAACGTCTTCGTATGAACAGACGGTAAGACACCAATCTACTCGGAACTTTAATACATTTTCTTCATTATTTTGTTAGAATCAGTACTGACGTCTGTACCTATGTACTACATGTCTGTATTTCAGTTGGCAATTGAATGACTAATGAAGTTCGGTTATTATCAATGTAATGTATAAAAGTAAGGTTTAACCTGCAAGAACTTGCCCCCGGGGAAACTGAGGCCGAGGATGTCCTTGACCTGCGTGGTGGCGATGATGATAGCGGCAGCCGACGTGAACCCCACCGACACCGGCCCGCTTAT